TCTTGTTAACTTGTATTCAAGCATCCTTCTTGTCATGTTCTTTGAATTATCCAAATCTTGATTCGTTTCATACGTGTTTAAGTATCATGATTCTTGTTGATTATTACTCTAGGATAGCTTAGGATGCTCCCTGAGTCTCATTGTGACATAGATGTTAGGTGACATGAGCCCCTCTGACATATTTTACCTTAAGGTGATAAAATTGTAAAATACTAGGTCGATGCATGCTCATCTCCTACGAGTAGCTTTATGTTGCTCACCCCTACGTTATTGAGGCATATTTCAGGTACAGGACTCAAGACTTGAAGGTTTCATTGCCTTAGATGATTTGTAGCTTCTCATGACAATACTTGTATTATGTGATTCTGTGTATGTAAAGTGTGCATAAGTACACTCTTTTCATTGTATTCCACTTGTATAAGATGAGGCTAGAGGCCAATAACATGTATTATGTATTCTATGCACTTTACTTTCAAAGTTATTATGAAAACATTAAAAATTCACAAGTCTTTTCTTCATAACTTTTGCATTGGGCATGGGAATTCCACTCTTTCTTTTTCATAGGGATTCTATAATCATGTATGAGGTGTGGCCAATGGCCAAACACCATTTAGTGTTCATTTTTGCATTTTAGTTCACATATTGCATTTTGGGCTAAAATAGTAGAATCCGAGCCTTTAAGGGTTCATTTTCAAATCGGGTGGTGCAAAGTGTGTTCTGGCACCTCCACTAGGTCTCATTCATCTTGTATGAAGTGTGGCCAAGGGCCAAACGGTCATTTGAAACCATTTCCTAATTTTGGTTTCCATATTTTCCATTTCAAGTTCATTTTCGCCTTTTTGGCCGTTGGGGGGTCGGATTTTGACTCGGCCATTTTCGGGAGCAGCGGACCATTCCCGCACGCTCAAAATCATCATTTATGTCTGCTTGCATGATCGTTTCCAGAAAAAACCTCTTCTTGGCAATTTGAGCCTCCTAGGGATTCATTTTGCATTTTTTTTGCATAATATGGTTTAGGGGCACTTTGGGGTTTTCCTTCAGGAAATAAATTCCGGTCTCCTCATGGTCACTTAAAAAAAATGATTTTAGGGGGGTTTCTTTTTCGTGTTTTTCCAGAAAATGTCGTCTTGGTGCCGGAAATCGATCACAAAATTCAGCTTTCTGTTTTTTTTTTAGCAGCTTTTTGAACCTCCATGACCAGATTTCATGGAGGGGCATTTCGGGAATTCTACATTGCATTTTTTTTTTAAATCTATCACTAGTCACATAGAAAATTCAATTTTGAGGGGGGTTTCTTCTTTGTGTTTTTCTAGAAAAATTCATCTTCTAGCCCGTTTTTGCTCTCAGTTGCAGACAGTCACTATAGCAACTTTTAACCCTCTTGTTCAGTTCTGATCTAGGGGCATTTTGGGGATTTCACAGTGAGGTTTTTCCGATTCCGTTTGTGCTGTCGGGTAGAAAACTCGATTTTAGGGGGGGTTTCTTCTTTGTATTTTTCTAGAAAATTTCGTTTCGGCCTCCGTTTCAAGCCTCAGTTCTGGAACCTCACTTTTTTTTTCTTGCTGTCAGCTGGTGCATGCCATTGGGCGCCGGTGGGCTCGTGCACGGGCACCGTGTGCGCCATGGCCTTCGTCGGGCAGCCGCGACGTCTCAACTTCAAACCCTCGTTTCTCCCTCGTCCGGACTCCAAATCGAGTGAACTTTTTTTTGAACTTGACTAATTTTTCGCTGCCTTTCCAATGGTGTGCTCGGTTGCACCCAGATCTTCTTGAATAATTACCAGTTTTCCCTTTTAGCCTTAAGTGCTCGTTTTTCTTCGTCAAGCCGTTTCTCCTTCGTCCGGACTCCGAATCATGCGATTCTTGAGTCCATCCTAACTATTTTTTTGTTGTGTTTCCAGCGACATGCTCGGTGGCACCCGAATCCACATTTTTCATAAATGACTATTTTGCCCCTGGGGGCTTATTTGTCTTGTTTTTAATCTTTTGCTCCCGCATCAGTTCTCATTGAGTTCCACGACCTCGTGGAAGGTCACTTTGACTTCTTAGAGTCTTGTTTTCTGTTTTCGCTTCCTCATATCGGATCCATTATCGGGTCAATCTTCGGTTCATCAGAGGACACGCTGGCCTAAAAACTAGGGTCGTCACAGATAGTATGGTAGGACCGCACTTTTTCTAATATAACATAATATAATTGGTTGATGGCACATCTAACAAAATATTATAAGTTAAAAGTCTTTCTCCTAGTTCCTGCTAATACGTATTCACACATGGGGTGTCAATTTGAGTGTTTTTGTCTTAATCTATCAAAAAAAAAAAAAAATCAATTAGTAGTAAAATCAACATACAGTTTTCTTTATTATAAAATATCTAAATTAAAACTCTTAAGCAAATATTTAACAAGTAAAATAATATTTAAAAAATAAATTGAAAAGAAATAAACAAATATTAAATCATTCTAATTTCTTAAAGCGAACATTGTAAGCATTAAACTTGTATACAAAAAAATAAAGAATCATCCTTGTACAACCAATAGAAATCAGTTTCCCTTGCCTATTTCTATATTGGTATGGTATTAAGGACTCAAGCATCTTTTTGAAGGGCTTCAAAACAAGCCAAATCTAACACAAGTAAAGGAAATTGAAAAAATAAAAATAAAAACTGTAATTTAGAAAATCAATACTTATGAAATATTACTTCCTTAAATTTGGTCAACACTTGTCAGCGGTTACAAGTTATTAAAACTCTATTTTTCAGTTGACGGAATTAACTTATCCAAGATACTCCTGTGAAAAAAAGAAAAGAAAAGAAAAGAAATTGCTCTCTTTGTTCCCATTGAGCAATGTTCTATCTTGTCTGGTCAATCATTATCAAAGTAATAAAAAAATTTAATACAGATGGAAAGGGGCAAAAGGAATGTAGAAGTCTAAGACGCTCTTTGCAATGCCGTGCATGGGAAAGTCTAGGCCATTGAAATTATTTTTTGATAAGGAGAGCAAGTAGAAGGAGAGAAAAACCTTGAAACCAAGGAGTTTTAGAAACGTCTATTAAATGACTCGGTATTTATAGATACACATATTTAAAGGTGTCTTAATAAAGAGGTTTGAATTTATAAGGTGTAATAATATAATTTTAATCGTATATGTACTTCAAATGGAGCGGTTAATTCCCTTCAAGTCAGCCACTGCCCAACCAATAGCTTCTTTGTGCTCTTGTAGCACCGCTAAAAGGTCAGTTTCTTAGTCCTTTAGAAGATCCGATGCAATGATGACCGAGAGAGTTTGATTTGAACCAAGGAATACATACTTGAGATGGGCCGGGAGCGGCTTAAGCTCAAGTAGTGGTGGAGATTTCAGAGACGGAACCGGAGGAGTAGTGGAAAGCTGAGGAAGCGGCTCTCTTGGAATTTTCACAACTCTTTCACGAACTGGAGGCGGCTGTGGTATTACCGGAACTTCTTGATGCTCCATTCCAGCTCTCAATTCCGTTTTCTCTCTTCTCAGAGCTTCGATTATGGTAATCAATTCATCAAGCTTTATCTGCTGATCATTCTCTTGTGGATTAGAACTCTTACCTCTTATCATCGTTCTTGATCGAAGCAGAGTCATCAAACAGAAACTCTTGACCAGATCTAAACCCTAACTACCTGAATACACCGGATCTGGCCTCGGAACGGCCGAATTCCGATCTTCGTTAGCTAAATCTAAACTTTTGCTGTTGTAAACTCATTAGATCTGGTTTTTGTCAATCAAAATCAAATTTCCTCAAAACAAATCTCAATTTTCCAGATCCAGATTCCATTTCCAGAAATCTAGCTTCTGCCTCACAAATCAATTTGAATCTTTCGAAAGAGCGATCAATTCACTTGCAAAAACTCAATGATCAACTGAATCCTCTCTCAGATTCCCACGGACGGCGCCATTGAAGATGTACGAAAAATGCTCTCTCAATTTGGAAAGAATAATTCTACACTTCAAAAATATATCGATCCTTTTTCCCTCTCTTTTCTATCTATTTATAGACGGTTACAACCATTCTTAAACCTTTCTAACTCATTTTCTTGCGATGCGCTGGCCTTGTCAGCTTACCTTCATTTTGGGCCCATTTCCTTTTATCTTAATTCGGGCTTCCGAACTGATCCTCCGGTCCTAGGCCTGCTCAGTTGTAATGACCCGGTCATTTTCTTCATTTTCCCTTTTTCTTCAAATTTTGTGGATAAATTTTTTTTTCATTATCTTTTCCTTTTCGGGTTCGATTTCCCGCCTCTTAGTGTCATCTCAAGTGCTCGGAAATGGTTTCTGAGACTCTTTCCTTCGGATTGACAACTTCCTTTGAGGACCGAGTCATTTCCACATTTTTTTGTTTTTTGACACTATTCATTTTTCGTCTTTTCCTTATTTCGTCCTCTTCTCGTTTTTCACTTTTACTTGCATAACCTCATTTTTTGGGCTCGGATTTGATTCCGGTTTTGCATACGTTCATGATATTTAAATTCCATGATATCTACATTTTTACTTTTGTAGAAATGCATATTAAATGCTTACTTTCTTTGTAAAAGCCATGAAAACAAGACTTTTTGCAATTATCCATAACTTGAGGGGTTTTTGGGTAATTAAGTAAAGTAATTATTTTTCGTCTTAGGGACCATTTTGCAATTAAATTTGGAAGATATTTTTAAAAAGGACCTTTTTGCAATTTTTGAAAAGTGTGACAAGTGTCACACTCTCATTGGTCCACTTGTTGACATTTGTGTGGAAACACTTTAATGCATTGGATGATGACATTTGGAGGGTGAGGATTCACTCACTTGTTGTCCTAAGATTGGTGCACTTGTTGGCATGGATGGTTGACAAGTGTAGGGTTAATATTTAATCTTGGAAGCTTACTTGGATTCATGACAAGTGTAGGACTCACATTTAGTCTTGCATTAGTGTGTGTGAGAGAGGTAGTGTAAGAGCACCTAGTGAGTGGAGAAGCCCACCAATTTAGCTTAGGGTTTACACATTTTAATTCATTCATCACTTTCCTCTCAAGAACCCTAAGGAAGCCACCATTGGAGAAAAGCTTGACTAGTAGCTTTGACTTCATTTTTGATGCCCTTTCACTCACCTTAGAACTTTGAACTTGTAATACTTTTTGTTCCCCTCATCATCCTCTTCAAAACCCTTGAAGGATCTAGCCTAACTTCTAGTTTTGCTTTGGTATCTAGAGATTCAATTCTCTAATGAGGTATTGATCTATTATTTTGAAGTATTTTTATGTCATTATTGAGTGTTTTATATGCATGGAAGAGAAGGACTTGTATTTTTCCCTTAACCTATTTTAACTTAAAATTAATCTTGTCAAATTAAATATAGAATATGAAAATATACTCAATTATCTTTCATTTAGTTTTGGTTTCATGTAATTTGAATTTAAAATGAATTAGTTATGAATTTTTGAAGTTGCAAGCTAGTTGCTGGAAATTTGAAGCTTTTCCTTTTCAGTCCGGAAATGAATTTTTTATATGGAGCTGTGTTACTTCAATTGCCTTGAAATTTTTATTGGAACTTCCCCCATAGGTTTTACACAACTTAGAATTTTTTTACGATTTTAGAGCATTTCTAAATTTTTTTAAAAATCCGAAACTATCTGCTGTCCATGTTTTTATTGCAGCTGGAAAACATATTTTTAGATGATTTATTTCACTAACCTTTTAACATTGGATCATGGCTTAAATTTCCAGTTTTACACTATCATATGTTTACCTCCAAAATAAATTAGTTTTGCACAATTTGGATGTCAAATGAATTTTTCATGAATTTTCAAAGTTGGAAGCTACAGGCTGAAAATGTGTTTTCTGGGCAGAAATTGTTCCAAAGTTGTGGGGAAAAACTGTTTCAATTGGGAAAATATTTTGTTAAACTAAATTGATATTATCAAATTGCAGTGTTTAAGCTTTCATTGGGCTTTGGATTCATTCAATTTGGGTTAGAATTGAATTTTTTTATGAATTTTACAAGTTGAAGGTAGCAAGCTGAAAAATCTGTTTTGCGGACCGAAAATTTGGGGCGATTTCATTTCGGTGGTAATTGGGATTTTCATTCCAATTGAGGTAGGGAATATTTTAGGATTATTTGTGTATTGTATTGTGTGTTTGCCATGATTATACAACATATATGTATGCCTTGTATCAAATCTAGAAAGTTAGTAATTTTTATTTCTTTGTATAAGATTTAAAATTTATGATGATGTATAACTTTGATTTGAATTGTAACATGCTAGGAAATTATGCTTAGATATGTTGGTTAACATATATTAAATTTGGATCATTTGATTAAGAATTACAACTTTTATTTAATATTTATCTTTAGTGAAAGTTTAATTCACATGGTTGTATTAAACATTAAATCAAGTTGTAATGTGGTATTTAAATAGGCCTTGTCATGTTCTCTAACATAGATTAAATTGAGGGCATTTGGAATTATTTAAAAATCTAGAGAAAATTAATTAATTAGCTTGATTAATTTTGTTTTAAGTGTTTTAATCACTTAACTTGTCATTTGATGTTATATATATGATGACCATGACATGTCTTTCAATATCTATTAAATTGAGGTTATTTGGATTAACTTGGAATTTAGAGAATTTAACTATTTATGTTTAATTAAATTCTACTTTATTACTCCATAGATTTAATTGCATTTTGGAAGTTGTTTCTATATTTAAATCATGGATTTGGATTTGATGTATGTTCACTTGATTACTTTTGAGTATTGGATAACATAGTTATTACTTTTATATTCATGAGAATATGTTTTTCCTTATTGAATATATTGTTGCTATGTATAAGGAATTGCACACTTTGTATTTGACATCTTACATGCCAGAGTAGTTGTGAATTTTGAGCATGTGTTGTATAAGTTTCCAAAATTTGGATTGTGCTTGGTAAATAGTTGATATCTTGTATATACATGTTGATATATATACGTTGTTGCACAATTTGTTGATTTTGAAAACTTGGGGATGTCGTTATTTGGCTACGGCTAGGACTTGGTTCTAGTACGGGGGATTGTCCCTCTGTATAGTCTTGTGCGCACATAGGGAGGTTACCCATGGGCTAGTAACCCTAAAGTAACTATGTTGTCGGTCTGATCTGGCATGACGTCCGAGTATCCACTTTATTTGATTTCGTATTTCATTTCAAATTGATAACTAGATGATATCATAACTTGTTATTCCTTATTTGATTTCCTATTTTGAGCTTAAGATGTAGCTTTGTGAAAGCATGCTTCATGCGTTGTATTGGAAGTTCCATTGTTGGTTAAATTGCATCGATATCATAATTTGTGTTTTGATATTCAAATGTAGTTTAGGAATGACCTTATAGATTCATTTTGAACATAGACGTTAAGTGGCATGACCCACATTTGTTGTTTTCGTATTTTGGATTTCAAGTTGAAGACTTTAAGAATCTATATCATGTTGCCTTGTAAAACATGTTTCCATGTTGTTTGAATTGTATGAACAATGTGATTATGATATAAATGATCTAGGTAGCTTAGGATGCTCCCTGGGTCTCATCTTTACATAGACGTTAGGTGGCATGAGCCCCTTTAACATGTTTCACCATAAGGTGATAAAATTGTAAAATGCTAGGTCGATGCATCCTCATCTCCTACGAGTAGCTTTATGTTACTCACCCCTATGATACTGGGGCATATTTCAGGTACAGGACTCAGGATTTGAAGATTCCATTGCTCCTTGGATGGCTTACAGTTTCTAAGTTTCTATTTTATGCAAGTGTTAGCATAAGATGCCTCTTTGTAGCCTTATTTGTTTAAACTTGTATTCATTGATTCGTATATGCAAAGTGTACGTAAATGCACTATTTTTAATGTATTTAACATGATTGAGATGAGGCCGGCGGCCAATGACATGTATCTCGTTTTCTATGCATTTTTGTTTTCAAAGTTTATTATGAAAATATTGGAAAATGTTAAGTCATTGCTTCATAACTTTCGCATCGGGTGTTGGAATTTCATATCTTTTCTGCCTGGACTCAGAATCAGACGATTCTTGAGTCTAATTTTATTCATTTTTCGTTGTCCTTCCAATGGTATGCACGGCGGCACCCTTTTCAGTGAGAAATGACCATTTTGCCCTTAGTTTATCTCTTTTCGGGTTAGGCATTTTTGCTTCATTTGCTTGGCTCATTTGAGTTCCGTGGCTTCATGGAGAGTCATTTTGGGGCCTTAGGGATGACGTACATCTCTTGAGGTCATTTGGCTTCTTTCACTTACGCATTTCGGGTCTGTTATCGGGTCAACTTCTGGTTCATCACTAACGCACTAGGTTGAGAAATTCGGGTCGTTACAGGTGGTATCAGAGCTCCTAGGTTTGAATACCTTGGACGACGGGTTTTGGGTGCATATCATGCTTATATTGCCATGCTCTATGTGTTTATATGCTTAATGATAATATGTTTTGGTTTGATAACATGTTTATGTGCTTACGTGTTACATGTGGTATGCCGTTTGTTTAGCATGATTTAATTATTATGTAAAGAGCGTAACATATAATGTATTCTAGATCAGATTTGTATATGCATATGCGCAATGCCCAATTAACTTTATATTCAAACTTAATTTAACTAGCTAGTGAAAAGTTAAGAAAAAAATTTCATATTCTTAAACTACATTGAGTCTGTTTTTAAAATGACAAGTTTATCAACAATATATTTAGAATTGAATTTTCTATGAATTTTAAATCAACAATTTATTTAGAGTTGAATTTTCTATGAATTTTAAATACTTACGACACTACAATTTGACTGTACTGTAAAGTAACATAACATGAAAATTATTCTTGACACAAGTTTTTTTTAGTCAGGAGTCTCTAATGAATATTTAGGCGAATGGTTCATGTTTGGCATCCAACAAAGTTCTAGATCGGTATTTTGATACTATTCAACGTGAGTTTGTCAAACTATGTAATTGCATGATTTAATTTATTATTAACAACTGCTATGGATATGTATGATAGAATTCTGAACAATAGTTCGATAAGTCCGTTTTTCACCAGATCAAAGTATTTTTTTTGTGGAAACGAACGATTGAGAAAAATCCACTAGTTTTTGCTTGTGGTCCATATCAGTTGGCCGAAAACCATCGTTTAGGGTTCCAAAATCACGTTTTGTAATCCGTTAGAAGACATCGGAATATTTTTGTTTTTTTTGTTGGAGCCTGAAACAAAATCCGATTGTTCTCAAATTTTAAAGTTGGTAGTTTTTGTAGATATTGTTTCTTATTCTATTTTTTCAGAAATTTTTAGAGAAAATTTATTTTTAAGCTTATTTTTCGGAATTGTTTTCGGCACACTAAAACTCGATAAATTACCAAAATACATAAAATAAATTAAGATGCTATGTATGTGCTGGAACATACTTTAAATAACGTATAAGTTGTTTACACTTTACACTATGTTTATAATTACTACATTTGTAAGAATAATAATTACAATGGGTTGTTTTAGTGATTATAATCATGTATATTAATTATTTGGGTAAATTGCATAGACACCCACTAAGGTTTCGGTCACTTGTGTCAACGAATTTTGGACACTAACACCCCCTCGGGCTTGAAAAGTTTGCACACACACCCCGCTAGACCCCTAACGCTATAAAATGACCATGTTGCCCTTTAACTTGTCAACAAAGGCAAAATAATTGTAAATAGAAAACTATAACCCTTTCTTACAAAATTTAAAAGACCAAACTAACCTTTTATATGCATTTGTTTGGCAGCCAACACAAACTGAAGCGCGATAATGATGCAGAAAATTGACTTGAAAAAAGTTATTGTTGCCTATATATACTGCACCAATTGAACCTGTACAAACTCAACTCAAGCTTTACATAGTAAAAATCAAAGCACCAAAACTGAATATCATATTACGTAATCTGTCACCAAAAGTGAATATCATATTACAAACTTTAACATATAACTTTGAAACACAAAAGTAACAAAGTCTATTTACAAACTTTAACCAATTACCGACCACCAAGTATCAATAATCATAGTAGCAATTAATTAAAGTAGCAATCAATCAGATTACATAGCCAACAAGAAAACACCAAAAAGGTAACAAACTATTTACCCAAGTAACCAAAAAAAAAAAAAAAAAACCAAAAACACAAGTAATTACTTCATCTCTGTTTTCAGCAAGTACTTCACCAAAAAACCAAGTAATTACTTGGTCTCTGTTTAGAAAATTAACATGCAAAACAACTAGACCAAGTTATTTGTACTGAAAATAAAAATATGCCTTATAGTGAACTGAGTTCTTTGTGATGGTCCTGCTGCAATTGTTGTTGCTGCTCGATCTTGTCCTTGTCCTTGGTCTTCTTCCTTCTCTTCTCCTCCTTGTTGGTGCTACTACTGATGCAAAACTACCTGTTGTGGATGCAAAACTATTTTTTCCCTTTCTATTAACTGCAGCCCTTTGACAGCCCCTTTTGTAGTGTCCCATGTCCTTGCAAATATGCATTAACTATGAAATCAAATATACAATCAAGGCAATGTAATTGACAACAAACCTAACATAAATAAGCACTTAATTATTCAGTAAGGATGACTAATTTGAAAGAAGTTTATGAACAAAGTGATTATACATGAAAGACGTTTAGTGGAAATACCAAGTAGGAAATAATAACTCAACTATGAAAAAGAAAAACGATTAATTGAAGTCAGTGTTAACAATCACTACCTGAACCAACTAAGACACTTTTGGATCACCTCAACTGAACTGACAAAGAAAATGTAGATTTGATAAATGACCCAAAACTCAAAAACTAAGAGAGTCTAGCAATATATTGCAGAACAGTTCACAAACAGGAAAAAACTGGGAAAGCTTTAAAGTGTTAAAAGAGTTTTTTTTCGTGAAAAAACAAGAGATCAGTACTTTGTGGGACAAAATACAAATTTTTAAATATTACCATCAAGTGTGAAGATTTGTATGACAAAGTAAATAGCAAGATTTCAATTTTTTTTTTTACTCATGGGGTGGAATTGACTTGCCAACTCATCACATATCCATCAATTTGTGAAACTAAAATAATGAAAAATACATGAGCAAAATTTCAAGCAGAGGATTTACTGGGGGAAAAAAAAAAATTCAAGTGGAGAAAATGATAATGATAACAACAACAATATCGATGAACATTTAAATAATGGTAAACCAGTGGAAGCAATATATGAAAAACCCCTAATTGCAACTAATTTTAGTTAATGACTCAAATTTGATGAAAAATCCCATTATATAAAAAAAACCACTAAACTTTGCAACAACTTTAAAAAAAAAAAAAAAAAAACCAAACTCAAAACTTTGCAGCAACTAACGAAAACCCTAAAGAAAAATGTCATAATTAGTATGGGGTGGTAACAAAATTGATGGAAAAAAAAAAAAAAAATCTAGAATAGCAAAAAATGTTGAACAATTTATACTTGAAATCCTAAAACCAAACAATAATAACGCAATACTCACAACTGAAAATAAGAAATACCTTTCTAAGCTCAAAATAAACAATTTTAAGCTCTGACAACTCAAAACGAGCTTTTCTTCCTGTAAATCGAATGATCTTAGGGTTTAGATTATAAACAAAGAACGATCTGTACTCACGATCAACACTAAGGATATATATTACGGTTTGCAGATGGTTTTTGGGTTAGTGTTGGAGAAAGATCATATGGCTACTAAGATAACATGGCGAGAATGGATCACATGATTCGGATTTGACATGGTTTGGGTTTCACACGGTTCTGTAGATTGAGAAAAAGAGAGTTCAAGGGTTAGAGGTTTGTGGTGCGAGTTGGTGTAAAAGGTAGTTTAGTCATTTAAAATGTCTTATATTTTCTGAATTAATTGAATAAAATATTAAGTGGAAAATATATCATTTGAAACCTTAGGGGGTGTCATTGTCCAAAATTTCGTTGACCAACTGCTAAGTGATATTAATCGAAACCTGAGGGGGTGTCAGTGCAATTTACGCGAAATCAAATCATGTAGGTCATGCCAACTAACGTCTATGTTTAATGTGGGACTATAAGATCATCCCAAACTACATTTAGACATTCATGAAATAAACCAAAATAATTATTCGACTTGAACAACATTGGAATATCAAATACCAAATAATCAAATATAAATTATTCTCAAAGTAACCAACTTAAAATTTAAAATGCGAAATCAACCAAACAGATACTTAGACGTCACACCGGAATAGAACTGGACAAATCAAGCATCATTTGGGTTACTAGCCCGTGGGTGTTTTCCCCTAAGTGGGCACTGTAAAATAGAGGGCTCTCATATCCCCTGTACTAGAGCCGAGCTCTAGCCATAATCATCCTTACGACATCTCCAAGTTTCCAAAATCAACAAATAGTGCACAACAAGTATATACACACATATTAAATGCACTTAATCAAATACCATGCAGAATCAAAGTGTGGAAACACACAAGACATGCCTTAAGTCTTCAACTATCATGGCATGTAACAAAATAAGCCATGAACAACATCAAAGACATATATAATCCATAGAACAATTAAATGGAAACTAATTAAAAAAATTAATTAACTTCTCAAGATTGCAAAATATCTCCAAATGACATGAAATTAACATACAACAAGCAACATACCATGACAAACACAAATATCAAATCAAAAATCTTATTAATATTTGACTAAAACACTTAATTAATTAAAAATCACATGATTTCAAAACTCATCCAAAACTTCCAAAATTAATATATGTTGAACAACAAGTGATGGGGTAATTTAATATCATATTTTTAATCTAAACAAAGCATGTTACAACCATGAAATTAAATCATCATTTAATATATAAAAAAATAAAACCTATTTCTAGATCTATACTATAGACATCTATACAAG